TTTTTCTTTTTTTTTTTAATGTTTATTTTTGAGAGAGGAGAGAGAGAGACAGCACGAGCAGGGGAGTGGCAGAGAGAGAGGGAGACACAGAATCTGATGCAGGGCTCAAACCCACAAGCCGTGAGATCATGAACTGAGCTGAAGTCAGACACCTAACCGTCTGAGCCACCCAGGCCCCCCTCAGCCATGTTTTTCTTGCCTTCTCACTGGAGGAAGAGGGTTTCAGCCTCTTTGGTCCTACTTCAGGGAGGCTAATAAGGGGGCCTCAGGTGGATGTCCCCAAAGGTCAGGAACTCTGACCCTTCCCTCAGTGGATAAAAGGGCCCCCAGCATAGATCAACAGGGTTTAGCCTTTGGTTTCCGCATATGGCTGAAGGTAGGTGTCAGGGTCTGGTCTGCACCTCTTTGGTATCTCAGTTTTAATCCAGGGAGGGGCTCTCTCTGATTGGCATTTTTCTTTTCATAGAGGGATGATGTCTTTTCATAGTGGAGCAGAGTTGAAATGGGGCCTTTGTTGGCTGACTCAGAGTGTGTGTGTGTGTGTGTGTGTGTGTGTGTGTATTGGCAATGGGGGTGTCCTGGCCCTGGCCAGAGTAGGGTATAAGAAAAGCTTTTTGGTGCAGGAAGGGGCAAAGCAATACCTTCTGGTTCTCTCACCCCCTGGCACCAGAAGGAGCTCTCTCTCGAGTTGGGAGTGGCTTCCAGTCTTACTGCCACCTTTGCATTCTTTGTGTCTTGCCTAGGCCATAAAAAAGTCACCCGGGGTCTCACCTCTCCCTTTCCACAGCAAAGGACCACGGGGGACTTGCCCCGAGCCCTAGTAAGGTGGTTTCTTCCTTCTCACTGGCCTCCATTCTGGGGAACTGTTCTTGTTTCTCCCCCTTAAGCCAACTCCTGGTCCTGTTGAGGGACAGCAGAGGCTGTTGGGGGAGCCCTGGCCCCATCCTTGGCCCTACCTTTCTGGGAAGATGTGCTTCCCCTTGCCACAGTGGTGCTGTCATTAGAAAATGCATGGCTGGGGCACCTGGGCGGCTCAGTCAGTTGAGCATCCAACTTCAGCTCAAGTCATGATCTCACCTTTCATGAGTTCAAGCCCCACATGGGGCTCACTGCTGTCAGCACAGAGCTCACTTCGGATCCTCTGTCCCCCTCTGTGCCCCTCCCCTGCTCATGGCTCTCTCTCTCTCTCTCAAAAATAAATAAACCTGTAAAATAAGACAGAAAGAAACTGCATGGCTGAAGGAGCGAGTTAGATACAATCAGCACGCCTCGGGCCACCTTAGCAGTCCACTGAGGGGGACAGCCAAGGTGGCACTTGGGCCCTCTCTCAATCCATCTTCTTCGAGGGATCCGGGATGCTCTCAGACAGTGGAGTGAAGCCCAGCAGGAGTCTGTGTCTCTCGTAGGCCTTGGTCTGCTTAAACATGGTGTCAGTCCCATGGAGGTGGTCCAGCACCCCCAGCACCCCGTAGCACTGGTTGAACCTGTTGGAGAGAGGAAGGTGCTGGAGGTCGGTGCGCTGACTGACTTTTCATTTGCGTCAGCCTCACACACTTCTAGGCCTCCCTACCCCACAACCGTTCCCAACCATGCTGACCACCTACGTTGGAATATTCCAGGGAGTTGCATACATCCTGGGGCCGCCCTGGACTGAAAATCTATGATCTGCCTTTGAAAAGCTCTCTATGTGAGTCCAATACTCATAAGTCAACCTGTGGCAGAGCTTGGCTTGTCCAGGTAGGTTCAGGGACCACCTCCATCAGAATCCCCTGGAACACTCACTAAAATGCAGATTTCCAAGTCCTCCCCCCTGACACACACACACACACACACACACACACACACACACACTTTGATTCAGCATATTTGGAGTGGAACCCGAGAACCTGCATTTTATCAAAGTATCTCAGGTGATTATGGTGCTGGAGGTTTGTTGACCACACTTGAAAAAGCCTGGAGGCTTTCAGAGAGCACGCAAGTCTCCTTGAACTGCATACAGGATTCTTATGCATACATGCATTGTTGTGACAGTGTCTGTAGCTTACGTTTGATATTCAAAGGGTCCAGGACCTAAATAGAGGTTAAAAACACACAGCTGCTGGAAGACCCGGTGTCAGAAGGAAAAGAGCAAGGAGATCTAGGTCCAGCATGGTCATTATTTTCCCAACCTCCAGACCTCTCCCTTCACTAGCACCAGCACATTCCCCCCACCCCCAATGGAGCCCAACACAGGGTATGAACCCACAATCCTGAGATCAAGAGCTGAGCTGAGATCAAGAGTCAGACACTTAACCGACTGAGCCACCCAGCCGCACCTAGCACTGGCACGTTTAAACTGAGACATCAGGGTCTCTACTAGAAGCCTCAGGGGTGAAGGTGAAGGCTATTGCCCAGGGACCCACAGTGGGGAAAGAGGCCTTACCTGAGATGGTGGTAGTCATGGAATTCAGGTGAAGGCAGGAAAGGTAGGTGGTAGCCACAGTGGGAAACAGTGGTGCAGATGAGGGCCAAGGAAAACCACACGGCAATGGAGGACAAGTGGGAGCCCATTAGGATGGGACCCAGTACCACTGGCAGCATGTTGGAGGCCTGTAAGGGTAGGGCTGTTTGAAGGTGGACCCAAGAGAGATGGAGGGGACCAGTTGTGTGTCTAATTTGCCCCAGGGTACCACCCAGGGTGTCTACTTTGCCCCAGTCAAGACTTCCTTGACTCAGATCTGGAGAAGCTAAAAGAGTTGCAGAACCTTGATTTGCCCGCGTCATTTAGCTTTATAACTTTGGGACAAGTAATTAACTGTTTGAGATAAGTTATCTTGGGCATCTCACATAGCCTACCATAGGCCAGGCCAACAATAAATGGTAGCTGCTGAATGGGAAGAAGAGAGAAAGGGCCAATGTCTAATTCTCTGCAGGAGACCTTAGGGTAGGGGGTTGGGGCCCTCTGCCCTTTGCCTCTGGGGAGAGCGGAGCTCTACTGACCACATGCTCGATAGGGTGGGCGTAGAAAGAGATCACGCCAATGGGAGCTGTCCACTCATGGTGTTTCTTATGGATTTTCTTGTACAATGTTGGGTGGTGAAGGAGCCTGGGAAAATAGTTAAGTTAATAATCTGCCAATCTCCCTTTTCCCTTTCCCACCAGGCCATGAGAAACCAAAGGTAGGAACTAGGAGTTCTACCTATCAAGCAAAGTTGCAAACACATTGGACTGGCACTCAGACCTGCCTTCGAGCTCTACCCCCACCTCTTATGCTGCATCATTTGGATTACTTTGCCTCTCCCTACCTCAGTTGCATCAGCCATGGTGGGGATGATGCCCACAAAGGATTCAAAAAGGAAATCAAAGTGCCCTGCTGCACACATGAATGCAGAAGGCTCTCTTCTGGGCATTTCTCACTTGTTGCAAATTGTCAGTTGTGGCACAGAGATGTCTCCATGTTAACTAATAAGCTTTTGAGGCCCAGTGGTGGTGGTCCTACATCTACAATTCTGAGGCCTCCATTTCCTCCCTTAAAAGTGAGCCCTAGGAGAGGGAGAAGCCAGCTGTGCTCCAGCAGGGCCCCGCTCACCGGTGTGAGTAGTAGAACAGGACTTCGTTAATCAGAGTGAAGATAGCCAGCTCCAGAAGGAACCAGTGGAAGGTGGGTAGCTCTCGGCGGTAGGGGTCTCCCCGCACCTTGATGATGGGATAGAGGAAGACCACCATGGGGACAGATATCATGCACTGGTTGAAGAGAACTGTGCGCATAGACTGGCGTAGTTTCGTGGCGTCCACCTGCATCAGGGAAGGAAGGAGGGAGATGGACAAGAGTGTGAGAAGTAGGTCTTTCCCTTCTTGAAACTAGACTGTACTGTGACCCGCTCACAGGAGGCCCTCACTCAGGGTGGATGCTAGGCATGATGTTTGGCCATAGCTGGCAGCCCCTGACTGCTGCCCAAGGCCTGAGGTGGAACCATCTGGCAATACCCCTGCCTTTGGAAACTCCCTTCCCAGTAGCCATCTCCTAGGCCTGAGCCTGCGTTCTCCTCCCTGCAACTGTCACTGCTGTTCTCCGCATTTCTCTGGCCAGGCCCCACCTATTCCTGACAGGCACCTTAGGGCGCCTCTAGGGTGCTTGGAGAAGGCTGTCAGCTCTCAGGTTGATATCCTTATTCAGCCTCTGGGCCCCTCCTCATCCAGGAAGGCTTGATCAGAATGCAGAGATCAAGGTCCTCTGCCTCCTTATGTGGCCCAGCCCCCTAGACAAGGCCCAGAGTGAAGCATTTGTGCAAGAATCAGTAACCCCCTGACCCTTCCCTTCTTCAGAGCACTGGGGCTCCCAGGAATAGCCCCATGACCACAGGTCACTTCTCAGGTCCTGAGGAGCTAGTGTCAGATTGGTCATAAGGGATTTCTCCCTGAGTTCTCTTTGTGAGCTGGAGGGGTTCCAGCTGCAAGGTAAAGCTGGGTTCAGAGTGATCCTCAGTCTTCAGGCCTTCCTCTTCCTCTAACTTTTGCAGGCACTGCATATATTGACTGACTGGAATCCACTCTCTACGCTTTCAGTTCCATCCCATGGTGAAACCAGGTCTGGCCAGCCTGGTTTGAGAGCACCGTTAGACGAAGCCGTATACCTCTTCTGGAAACCTCGACCAAGAGGAGTGTGTCACATCTGTTTACTCCTTCATTTATTTGACCGATACTTCTGAGCACCCTCTATGTTGCAGGCAGTGTCCCATGTGCTGGGAAGGAAGCAATAGTCAAAACAAAGATTGCTTTCTTCATTGAGTTTATATTCCTGGCACCAGTAATTTTAAATACAATGGTCAGGGTAAGCTTTGTGGAGATGGTGAGGTTTGAACAAAGAGATGAGGAAGGTGAGGGAAACAGATACCTGGGGAAGAGAGTCTTCAGGCCAAGGGAACAGCTGGTGAAAAGGCTCTCAGGGACATTGCAGGTATACTTGACTGGAGAGGAGCGAGCGAGTGAGGTGGGGAGAAGTAGGAGGTGAGGCCAAAATGGTGGGGAGGAGCCAGAGCAGATAGGGTCTTGTAGGTCATTGGGAAACTTTGATTTTTACTCCAAGGGAAATGGGGGGGGGTCACTGTGAGAAGACAAGTGACAAGCTCTTAACAGGAATCCTCTGGCTGCTGTATTGGGAACAGACTGTAAAGGAGCAAGAATAGACACAGGGAGACCAATGACAGTTGCGGTAATATTGACAGAAGACAGTGATGGCTCAGACCAGGGTGGTGGCAGTGGAGGTAGTGAGAAGTGGTTGGATTCCGGAACTATTTTGGAAATAGAGCCAACATGGTTCCTGACAGATCGGATGTGGAGTATGAGGGAGAGAAAGTAGTTGAGGACCAACTAGAAATTGAGGCATTGCCATGAACTCAGACTGGGGAGGATGTGGGTAGCAGTCTTTGAGGGGTTGATCAGAAATTCTCCTGGGGACATGTTGGACTGGAGATGTCTGTTAGACATCCGCGTAGAGATGTCAAAGAGGCATTTGGCAACTTGAGCCTGGAATTCAGAAGAGAGTTCCGGGCTAGAGACAGAAATGTGTGAGCTGTCGGCATATAGATTGTATTTAAAGTCATGACACTGGAACAGATAAGTGAGGGTATGAAGACAGAGACAGGGAGCAAGGCCAGAGCCCTGGGACACTCAGCAGTAGGAGGCTCGGGTGGGGAGGGGCAAGGGGAAGAGGAACCAGAAGAGCTGGAAAAGCCAGGTATGAGAAGATATAATAAGGATATAACAGGCCCACTAGTTCTGATGAGATAAGCCCACCTGCCGGGAGCTATTTAGGCGAAACAGTGCTGTGGTGGGAAAGGCCCCACCAGAGGAGGTTCAAAGAAGACGCGAGATGATAAAGGTTTGTGGCTATTTAGGAGATACAGGCTGAAGGATTTAGGGTGAAGTTTTGTAATGTCTGGAACTTACTTTCAGATGGTTAAGCTAAAAAGTATAGATGCATACATAGCTATATATTTTTACGTAGAGATAAAGCAAATCCTGTAAAATATTTAGAATTGGTGGAGCTAGGTGGTGTGTAAATGAGTGATCATTGTACTGCTTTTTCAACTTCTGTGTCTATGCTTCCAGTTTTTCATGATTACAAAATGTCGGGGGGGAGGGGAGGAGGAAAGAGGATGGAGAGAAACTGGAAACTATACAGACAACTCTTTCAAAGAGCCCGGTTGCCAAGGAGAGCAGAAATAGGAGTGGTATTGAGTCTGGAGGATGGGGGCAAGGGGGTTTGCTTTGGTTGGATCTTAAGATGGGAAAAATTACAGCATGTTTAATAATCCAGAGGGAAAGAGCCTAGGAGAGGGAGGGGGAAAGGGAAGAGAAAGGAGAAATTTCCTGAGGTAAACAAGAGGTAATAGGGTGTAGCACTCGGAGAGGGGAGGAAGGGGTTAGCAACGGAAGCAAAGAGAGTGCACCTGTTCTATCAGGTGGAAGGCGGAGCTGGAGTGGGGAAGTCTGTGGGATCTGTCTTCAGCTTGCCCCTGTTTACTTAGCGAAGTAGGAAGTCAGGGAGTTGGGGATGTGAGGAGGGAGGAGGAGCTTCGGACTGGCTATCGAGGAGAGTAGAGAGCAAGCAGGGGCGGGGAGCTGTGCGCCTGAGGTGGGAGCACCGGACCTAGAGTCCGGTGAGACGACGCCCCGGCTCTGCTTCCTAGTGACGCTCTGACCTTGAGCTAGTCACTGCACCTTTCTGGGCCTCGGCTTCTGCAAAATGCAACCCGCCCTTCCCTGTGTGCCTCTCCGATCACTGTAGATGGTCACAATGAACGTCGTCATGGTAGGTAATACTCTTGACAGCTGATGTGGCCTGGTGGTTAAGAGTACGAGTTGGGTCAGAGAGCTTGAGCGTGAATCGTCTACCCATGTCCCACCTCAGAGCCTGTTTGATCATCTGGCCCCTGAAGGCTATTACAGTACTTGGCCTTGAAGACCTAAGGCTGTAGCCAATGGTGCCTGGCAAGGAGACCGCCATGGTCTGACAGATGAAGGGCTCTCGACAGCCAAGCACTGGCTTTGATAGGCTCCGGTCCATGCCTGCCACGCTGGATCCAGGGGAGGCCCCCGGCTGGCTGGCAGCTATTGTGTCCAGTGAGGGGGTTTGTAAGCCCGGCCAGCAGCCCTGGTTCGGGAAGGGGCTATTCCGAAAGCCTGGGTCCGGGGCACTATTTTTCTGCTTTCTGGAGTGCTGGGCTGGGGCAGAATGCCCTGAATGCTGAGATGAGCCACCCAGGCACCTGGACAGCTAATTAAAAGATAATTGTCTTCTCCGGGAAAGGAGCCAGAATGTGTTTTGGGTGGAAACTGGACAAAGAAGCTGGGTTTAAGAATCAGCTCCCCACTGCACAAGAAAAGGCTCTTGGAGGTTGTCAAAGCACCAAGGGGGTGACTGGGCTCCGGGCACAGTGGGACTCATTTCCCGTGGTGTGTAAGTCAGAGATGTGTGTACTGGCCTTCTCTCCCTTCCCGGGCCAGGGGTTCCTCATAAGCAGAGTCCAGGCCTTGTTCACTGTGGATCTGCTATGCACCAGCAGTTAAATGACTGGGGAGAAGGACCTGCTTAAAATCCAGCCACTGCCCACACATTCAGAACCCTCTATTCACAGTGGGCTAGCCACTGTCTCAGCAGCTGTGTCCCTCACTCATGACAGCTGTCATCTGTGCTTTCAGCCTCCAGCCACCGCCATCCCTGCTTCGGGTGGCCGAGGTGGGGGGCTGCCTAACACCACTGCACTCAGCCCAGTGCCAAGCTGACCCCATCATTTTGGTTCCCAAAAGGCTGACGGCAGTGCTGTGGGGGCAGTGCAGGCAGGCACAGAGCTGGGGCTGGGAATCAGGAGACTGGAACATTCGTCCTGCCTGGCTGGCTCTGAGAAGTGGGCAGATTACTTCCTCTCTCTAAGCTTCTCAGCTGGGGAAGCCTTGTGCACAATAACTTGGCTCACAGTGGCCACACTCTCTCCTGGGCCTGCAATGAGAATTTTTTTTTAAGTTTATTTATTTATTTTGAGAGAGAAAGAGAAGCGGGAAGGGCAGAGAGAGAAGGACAGAGAGAACCCCGAGCAGGCGCCACACACGGTCAGCACAGAGCCCGATGTGGGGTTCAAACCCATGAACCGCGAGATCATGACCTGAGCCGAAACCAAGAGTCAGACCCTTAACCGACTGAGCCACCCAAGCATCCCTGCAGTGAGAATTTTCAGTGTGGCTTCAGCTCTTGCTTTCTGTGCTTAGACCAAGAGAAGCCACAGCAACACTCACTGGTTCATTCTGGCCAACTTGAATTCGGTAACGGGAGATGAAGTTCGGTTTTCTGGCTGTGTCAGCCACCAGCAGAAGCCCGTTGAAGCTCCAGAAAAGCAGAGCAGGTACTAGAATGGTAGCTAAGGTTGGGAAGTAGAAGGCAACGATCAGAACAATTAAGGTTCTCACAGCACATGTATTAACTGAACACGAGCTTGATGGTGACGAAGGCTGCATTGTAGATAGTCCCTTGCCAGGGAGGTCTTGGAGCTCCGGGCCATAGGGCCTACCTTTAGTCCTGGGGTGACCAACTAGCTGGGGGAACTCAGCCAGGTCACTTAAGGAGTGTCTCTATTGTCTTAGTTGTAAAATGGGGACAACAACCTTCTAGGTAGTTGAAGACAAAAAAAAAAAAAAAACAAAAATTTGTTAAATATAAATAAAATTTATAATACATGTATAACCTTTATAATACAATAATAAATAAATAAACTAAAATAAATTTAGGTTGACATCTGGGAGTCTGTGCCCACTGAGCCCTTTATGAATTCGAAGGAAGGTAGAAACAGAGGGAGCTCCTGCTATGATTCAGTTCCCAATGAGCCACTGGACTAGGAGTCAGTTGGGAACCTAATCCCTATTAACTGAGCAGTGGGACTTCAGGAATCCAGTCTGCATTTCCCAAAGTGGAAAACTCATCTCTCAAGGCCCTCCATGATTAAACAGCGTTCATACCTAAGTCTCTTGGAGAGCCATGGTCCAGACTAACGTGCCAACGGCTCTAAAAATCCCTGCAGTGGAGAAACCTATTTGACTTTGTTAAACTCAGCCTTTCCCAGTCTTTTTTTACCCTAGAACTTTTGTTTTCTCAGGCCACCTAAGAATAGGGTGGCCATGCATCCCTATCTGCCCAGGATAGTTTCAGTTTACATCTAGCAGTCTAGCATAATTGTTAACAGTGCCTCATTTACTCTCACAGATGTCCCTATTTGGATGATACATTGTATGGCCACCCCACCTATTCACATCCCACAGCACTGATGTTCTACAGGATACTTTCAAAAATGCTGATCAAGATTTAAAATTTAGATACGGGTTTTTTTTGGATCCACATCCCACTTTCCTGGCAAAGTCATTCCAAGTATCTCTGATATCCAACTGTGAAGACTTTGTCCCCCCTGTTGGCAGTTATTGGAGTGACAGTACAATGTTACCTAACTCTTGTGCTATTAATGCTGCCCATGGTTTGCTTCTTCCTTCTAAATATCCCAAGGGGCAAGGACATTTTACTTAACTCTATGCCTCTGTACCGCTCCTCCAGTACCCTTCTTGCTGCCACCAGAAACCCAGTGCCCGTGGCAGGTGGGATCTGAGAAATATTTGGCCAGCACTGTGGGGAAATATGATTAACACAATGTCTTGGAGAGCAGTTTGACAGTATCAGAAGGTATTAAAAAAAAAAAGCGAGTGTAACAGAGACAGGAAAAAAGAAAAAAGGACACACATATATCCATACACACATCCTTTACTGCATTAAAAAAAAAAATCATAGTAGAACACTTAAGGAGCCTGAATGTCCATTTATAGGGAATGGACTAAATAGAAGAGTATCTCTATACAATGGATTAGATGAGGCAGCTTAAGATAATAAGTCGGTCTATACTCACTGACATGGAAAGATGTCCACAATCTATTCAATGAAAAAAAAAATGGTGTCTTAAAAGTTCAACCATATATCCAATATTAAGACATTTATACTTATATATTAACTGTGGTTATTTCTTGGATATGGGATTGGGTGAGTTTCATTTTCTTCATGCTTATTTGAATTGTCTGATTTTTATTTTTAACACTGAACATGTATTTACTTTTATTCTCAGAAATAACAAGCTTTCTTATTTTGGAAAAAAAATGTTAGGTCGGTAGTTGCCTGGTGGGCCATCCATCAGGGTGGCTGCCTGCTTGCGAATCCAAAAGCTCCTTGAGGGATATGGAATAAAAGCCCCAACAAGAGAAGATCTTGAACTTTCTTCCAGTTGTAACACTTAAAATTGCAAATACTTAACCTCCCTGGTATTTGCGTATCATTGGGGTGAAAGGTAGTTTTCCTATCACTGCAACAGAAATATATCAAATGTTTCACCACCACTTTCCCCATATACATTTGCAATCTGCATTGTTCTTTTCAATGACTGCATAAGATTGCATTGAACCTGTCATAGTTAATGTTTAGCCTGTTCTCAGAGTTCTCCTTCCAGCTGGAAAAAAATTGTCAGGGACGTTTTATTTGTACTTTTGCTTTGTGACAACTGGCACTTTTTTATATCTCCCCTTCTGGACTATGACATAGCTTTTGAAATGAGGGAAACATTTCATCTTAAATACCTCTATGTCCTCCATATAAGTTTGGCACAGACTAACAGTAATAAATATTATTTGAGTGAATGAATGCGTCATTGAGGACATTCACTATTGCAGACAATGCTGTTATAAATATCTATGTTGAAATGATACCTTTTCTTTGGCTTGTTGACCGCCATTCACACTGCCGGTAAATATTGATTAAGTGACCACATGCTGTCAAGCCCCGAGAGCTATATTTCACTAGATACAAGGACATAGTCTCACAGGATATAGAGCAGCTCTCTGTGCTGTGGACCTGACATCCAGAAGCAGGATTATTACTCTAAACATGCATTCAGTTTTACACAAATCACTTCTTTTTTTATTCTTCTATTTTGGGAGGGGGAGGTCTCAAGTTCTTTTCTTAGATGTCCTTAGGCATCCATTACAGATTGCCCACAAATTTAGCACTCTTTGGGATTAACACTGTCTTAAATTGTAAGTCTTCATTCCTTGGAATAAAGAACTGAGAAATCTCAAAATAGAGAAGAAAACAACAGAAAAAGAATTAAGCTATAATCATGTACCCAAGCCCTAAGCACTGGTGGTCTGGGAACCTCACCTATAATGTAGAGGATCCACTCCTTCCCTTCGAATGTAGACAGGAGCCTCTCCCATTGGGCTTGCTGAAAACAGCCAGAAGCATCCCAAAATCTCTGAAGTTGCCTTGGGAGAAAAATCATTCAGGTTTCTGGGTGAAGCTCCTTACTCCATGCTCTGCCTCCAGACCAGCAGCACCCTGCCCCCAGCTCCAGAATTAAAGCTGGTTGTGTAGACTTACCCTGAGACCAAGTTCGAGAAGGCCACAAGCAAGAGAAGGCCAGAGCCCAGGATGAAAGCCGCCTCCTTCATGGAGCCCCAGATGCGTTCCTCCTAGAGGAGGACAAGAAAAGTGTGAGGCCCCAGCAAGCCTCCTACCGTCACGGCAGAAGTCACAGCCCACAGTAGTGAGCTGCTACCCAGTCCTGGCAGGAATGATGTGGGATCAGGATCTCCACCACGTCAGCGTGGTGCATCGGCTGACCTTTTCCCAGCCTCTACGGGAGGTTCTTCCTGAGCAAGAGCTCTCAGGCTGTATTTGGGTGTGTTTATAAAAATAACAACTCAAGGTTGGGGGAGGGAAGAGAACAAACCTGACCCCAGAGAAACTAGCGAACGGTTTTGTCACCCCGAGAGGGTCAGGTGAACCTCCCGCAGCGGTAGGCTTTCATCACCAGTCCTTCTGTGGCATAGAAATGCCCATCACTTATCCGGTGGAATCACCCGGGAGCTTTTAAAAAATCCCGATGACCGGGTTCCTCTGCAAGCTGATTTCCTAAGAGTCTCCAGGGTGAGACCTGGGCTTCTATGTTTCTGAAAGCTCCCTAATTCAAGTAGGCAGGCAAGGCTGAGTCAGCCATCACAGAAAGATCTGCAGTCTGTGATGAGGGCATAGGGACTTCACTGTGTTCATGGGCCAGGCCTCTTTCCCCATCCCCATCACCCTCTTGCTTGTGAAGAAAAGAACGAACACATGTTTTGACTTTTAATAAGGCCTCTGTTTCTGGTGAGATTAGCCTGGGATGCCAGTGGGACAGGATAATGAGAAGTTCTAGGGGCAAAGAACAGACCCTTGGCAATCACTGGTCCCTTACCTATGCTCCTCCAAAAGTCTAAAGCAGAGACAGATCATTGCAAGCTCGATGGCCAAACAAGGTGCCAGATTTGGAGAGGGAAAAATACTGGCTGTCAGGTGTGTCACCAATTTCCATTGTACCATGGACAGAAATTACAAACGTCCTTTACATGTTCTATTCTAGATCTAAGCCCCGATGGAGTCTGGTTATATTTCATGGGACAGAACTGGATGGTGGCCTACAGGTATGTGCCTGAAGCTTATCTGCAGTTTGTGACTTGTACCACGTACACAGGGTCAGGGGGGTGCTGTTGGGGGAAGCTGATCCCATAGGGACACTACATTTTAATCCAGACTTTGAAGATCTGAAGGAGCAGCTTGTTTTGACTGACCCATTCACAGCAATCTGAACCTGCACTGGATTATTTATTCTCAGCGTACCCCATCCCACCTCTGATCAGAAGACCAAGAAGAAGTAAATCATTTTCCATGGCTGGTGAAAAGGTTTTGAAGCACTGGTGCTCCTCAGGGTCTTGAACTCTGGAAGTGAACTTTTCCCTCTCTCCTGGAGGGCTTGATGGGGAGGACCAATCAGAGAAACTTGTTCTTTTAAATAGGCCACTGAAAGGTCGCCCTCAAGCTTGCCAGACATTTAATTTGGACTTTGCCTTTATTCCTTTTTTAGTATTCAGAGGATCCTTTTCATGAACTTTTCCAGATTCACTAGAAATTTTTCATTTCAGTGTAATCAGATCAAGCTAAATGAAATTAAAAACCTCAATTTTAGGGTCACCTGGGTGGCTCAGTCAATTTAGCATCCGACCGGCTCAGGTCATGATCTCGCAGTTCGTGGGTTCGAGCCCCACGTCAGGCTCTGCACTGACAGCTCAGAGCCTGGAGCCTGGTTCAGATTCTGTGTCTCCTTCTCTCTCTGTCCCTTCCCCACTCCCACTCTGTCCCTGTCTCTCTCAAAAGATAAATAAACATTAAAAAATTTTGGGTGGGAATGCAAACTGGTGCAGCCGCTCTGGAAAACAGTGTGGAGGTTCCTCAAAAAATTAAAAATAGATCTACCCTATGACCCAGCAACAGCATTGCTACGAATTTACTAAGGGATACAGGAATGCTGATGCATAGGGGCACTTATACCCCAATGTTTACAGCAGCACTTTCAACAATAGCCAAATTATGGAAAGAGCCTAAATATCCATCAACTGACGAATGGACAAAGAAATTGTGGTTTATATACACAATGGAATACTACTTGGCAACGAGAAAGAATGAAATTCTGCCATTTGCAACAACGTGGATGGAACTGGAGGGTATTATGCTAAATGAAATAAGTCAGTCGGAGAAAGACAGATACCATATGTTTTCACTCTTATGTGGATCCTGAGAAACTTAACAGAAGACCATGGGGGAGGGGAAGGGAAAAAAAAGTTAGAGAGGGAGGGAGCCAAACCATAAGAGACTCTTAAAAACTGAGAATAAACTGAGTGTTGATGGGGGGGTGGGTGATGGGCATTAAGGAGGGCACCTGTTAGGATGAGCACTGGGTGTTGTATGGAAACCAATTTGCCAATAAATTTCATATTAAAAAAAATAAAACCTTAACTTCATGATAGGCTTAGCCATTTTTTTTTTCAGTAGTTATGGTGTTTTCTCTCTCTCTGGCAGCCCAAGGGAACAGAATAGAAACAGCCCAAAGGGCTCAGTAAAGTGCAGAAGTTAGTTGGGGTCGAGAGCCGCTTCCCAGTCCCACTTTCTAGCCCCCAGTGGGCCTCTCCTGTCTCTGGAGCAGTTACAGAAAGGGGTGGTTTCAAAGGCCTGAGGCACGGGACATTCTTAGGGGCCAAGAGGGAATGCGAGCACAGCTAGCGGGCTTTTGGGCCACTCTCATGCGGTCCTGCTCCCTCTCACAGGCAAAGGGGCTACGGTTACATGGCAGCCTGAAGTCCAAGGGTTTCTGCTCAGCTACTGAAATGAGCACCACCACCACCAATGTGTCAGCTACCCCTAAACCTTGGGGGAGACCTCAGATACGCAGCACCTGCAGATATGGAAAGAGTCACGGGCTGCGTTCTCCCCAGCTTGGGGAAGCGGGGGTGGTGCTGGCATTTACCTGTTTGGGCTTCTCCTGTCGCATACTTCCGGCTTCTCCCTTCATCTGGAATAAGAAAGCACCCCGTGAGTCACGATGTCATGTTCACGTGCAACCAAGCAAGTAGAGAATGAAGAAAGTCAAGGTGAATGGCTAGCCCTGATTTAAAAAAAGAAAATTAAGTTTATTTATTTATTTTGAGAGAGAGAGAGAGAGAAAGAGAATCCCAAGCAGGCCCCACACTGTCAGTGCAGAGCCCAACATGGGGCTTCCTCCCATGAACCATGAGATTGTGGCCTGAGCCGAAATCAAGAGTCGGAAGCTTAACTGACTGAGCCACCCGGGTGCCCCACCAGACGTGATTTTTAATGCTGGGTACTCATTAAAAGTCACCTGGGGAGTTAGAGAACCTCTGTCTGGGCTCCACCTCTGGAGACTGAGTTGGTGTGGGCATAGGTAACATGAATCACAGAGAGCAGGCAACAGGGGGCTCGATCTTCATGGAACTAGCTTTCCAAGAGATGGGCTGTGACTAATCCTTCTTTTGAATAGTTTCACTCCCAGCCTCAGCACAACCCTGTCTCACTCAGACTAGATCTTTCCTCCACATCTCCACAGTATCCTAACTGCCAATGGCCCACAGCCCCAAGGAGCCAGGACTGAAGCCAGGACTCTGCCTGGCTGGCTGGGACAGCTTACACAACCTCCGGAAGTCAGGTTACCACACACGTGGGCTGCAGTTTTAATGCCGATGAAAATTGAAGCATTTTGCAAACTGTAATAATGACTCAACGTCTCCAGGACACTAGGTTTGCCAGGAGCATTCAGACCAGAAACCAACTGTGTATTTATCTATAGGAATTGTTAAGACAGCCAGTCTTGAAATCTGATACCTTCCTCAAGGTCATGTCAGAAGTGTGTCTATCACTTATTAGTTTTATGATTGTGGTCAAGATGGCCTCTCTGGGCCTCAGTTTCCTTGGCTGTGAAATGGGAATAAGAACAGGGTATCCCACTCATGTGATTTCTGCTGGGAAGCTGTAAGCGCCATGAGAACAGGCTCTCTGTGTAGCTTTCCCTGGGCCTTTGCTGAGTAGGTGCTTAGCATACGTAGCGTGGATGAATCGAGCAGAGGGTCTGGTTCACTGGGCCAGTGTTTCCCTGGATGTATCTCAGGAACTCCTATGTCTGAGTCATCAGAGGTTTGCTGAAACCCAGATTTCCCAGCTACACTCTAAAGCAGGGTCTCTTAGTGTGGAGCCTGGACACCTGCATTTTAGACTTGTTCCCGAGGTGATTCTTCTGAGGGACTTTGCTGCCAGCCCTGGCTAGGTATGCCGTGTGCTGTGAGTTGGTCAGGATAATGGTAGGAGAGTGAGATAAAAACTGGCAGCAATCACCTGAGGTGTATGGGGCACAGGCTGGCCCCGGAAAACATCTTCTCACCCACTCCTACTCCCATTCCCTCTTCTTGGCAGAAAACGGAAGCTGGAAGTTTTGACTGCTGCAAGACAGTACTTCCCTAAGTCTACCAACTGGGGGAGATATCACCAACATGATGAAATTCAACTCACGTTTAATCAACTAAGTAAGCACCACCCATCGGCTCCTGCTCTGAGCAAGGCCCCACGGTGGTACTGAACTCTTTATATACTATGTTTTTTCCAATACATGCATACCTGTGATAAAGCTTTATTTACAAGTTCAGCACAGGAAGAGATCAACAACAACAATGATAAAAGTTATAACAATATACTGGAATAAAAGTTATGTGAATGTGAGTGATCTCTCTCTCTCTCTCATTCTTTCTCAAAATATCTAAGATCCTTCCGGACAGAAATCTTTTGTCCACGTTCATACTCCCCAGCATGGCAGCCGTGATCCAACTGCACCTGCCACAGACTTGCCTTTGCTCATGGTCACTACAGTTTGGTCTCAGGCAGCCATGGCATCAACGTTAGCCTTTATTCTCAAGAAATTGCTTGGTTTTCCTGATGGCTTGCGTCTTTGGTATGTGTTCTTGCAACTACTGTGTGCCCTTCTGAATGCATTTCCTAATCTTGGCCTTTTCCAGTATTATCTTGGCATTCTGATGAAGCGTTTTTGTGATGAACTTAAAGCGTTTCTCCATATGTGAAACAATGCCATGACTTCTCTGGGAACGTGGCAGCCTGGACCGTGACTGGATTTGGCAGTCGGGGGTGGCTGGGGATTGCACTTGCCCTGAGTAGCCAGCCAGCTTGACTTTGTTGAGTGTCTCACCACCTGTTTTATTGTAAAGCTTTAGTAATGACAAATGTGGTGCTAGCCTATCAGTAGGCAGACATATATAACAGGTTAGAAAGTCCAGAAACAGACCTAAATCTATATATGTGTATATACACACATATATATGGGAATTTAGTGGATGATAAAAAGAAGTCAATATAAATGGACTTTGAATTGAACAGATGCTGAACCTCCCCTATGATAAGAGAAGTGTGAACTGAAACTACGAGAGATTATTTCTCACCCATCAGCAGGGCAACAATCCAAAAGTTTGATCGCATGAGCTGCTAGTGAGGCTGAGGGGACTTTGAAACTGTATTTGTTCTCTGTGTGTCAACTATACTAAAAACAAAAAATGTCTTTATTGATATGTAATTCACATACCATACAATTTACCCATTGAAAGTGTACATTCATGTGGCTTTTAGTATATATTCATAGAGTGGGGCACTCACCACCAGGACTGATGTTAGAACATCTTCATACCCCACAGAAAAACCCTGCACCCTTCAGTCATCAATCTCCAGTCCCTCTCTCCTTCCACCCCCACCCCAGCCCTAGACAACCATTAATCCACTTTCTGTCTCTATGGATTTGCCTATCCTGGGCATTTTTCTATAAATGGAATCATACACTATGTGGCCCTTTGTGACCGATTTCTTTTACTTGGCATGTTTTCAAGGTCCATCCAGGTGGTAGCATGTATCAGTTTTTTTTTTTTTTTTTTTTTTATTGCCAAGTAACATTCTATTACATGGAGAGATCGTATTTTGTTTACCCAATCATCTGTTGATTGACATTTGGGCTGTTGCCACTTCGTGGCTATTACGAATAATGCTGCTATAAACATTCAAGGACAAGCTATTGCATGGATGTATGTTTTTATTTCTCCCAGATATGTACCTAGGGGAAGAATTGCTGGATCATCTGGTGACTACATTTAACCTTTTTGGGACTATAAAGTGGTCGCACCACTTTACATTTCCAACAGCAACGTATGAGGGCTCTAATTTGTTTATGTCCTCACCAACACTGATTATGGTCCCTGCCAAATAGTGTCATAACTATGACTGTATTTGTCATCACTATTTCTAGCTGAAGAGCGTTACAGGGCACCTGGCTGGCTCTGTCAGTAGAGCTCGCAACTCTTGATCTCAGGGCTGTGAGTTGGAACCCCATGTTGGGCGTAGAGATTACTGCATACGTACATACATACATAATACATACATAAGTAAGAGCATTACAGATCATCTGGTTCTGCCATGTGACGAGGGTGAAGAAACCTAGATAAAGGAGGCCAGGTGACTTCCCAGAGTTTGTAGAAGGCACAGCCAGGATCAGAGCCCGGCTTCCAATATCTCTAAGGATATTTTATTCTTTTGTGTTTGATTGTACTCAGTTTTATTATTCTGGATGCATGTTTACCAGCTATGTCCTTAGGAAATACTGCTTCCCTTTGACTCACACTTCTTATAGATTACTTAGGCTGGAGAAGGGAAGAGAGAACAGTGACCTATGAAGTGCCTTTAGGGGGTTAAGGAGTTAGGACAGCAGAAGGAGGTGAAATAAATGTAAGCCACTTGCCATCTCCAGGAGATGACGTTACGCAGCAGGGATGCAGTTAGTTCAGAGGAAAGGTCTGTCGAGGAGAAAAACTGGGACATTGGATACCCAGTCAGTGAGACAGCCTCTGATATAAGAAAAGGCACCAGAGTGGGGCACCTGGGTGGCTCAGTTGGATGAGCGTCTGACTTCGGCTCAGGTCATGATCTCATGGTTGAGAGTTAGAGCCCCGAGTCGGGCTCTGTGCTGACAGCTCAGAACCTGGAGCCTGCTTTGGATTCGGTGTCTCCCTCTCTATCTGCCCCTCCCCCTCTCACATTCTGTCTGGCTCTCTCTCTCAAAAATAAACAAACGCTAAAAAAAAAAACCCAATAGCCAAATTATGGAGAGAGCCCAAATGTCCATCAACTGATGAATGGATTAAGAAGTATATGTATACACAGGTATACATGTATACACACACATATACATACATATATACATATATATGTATATCTACATACATATATACATATATATGTATATCTACA